GAGTATTATTATTGTTGTTGTTGTTGTTGTTGTTAATATTTTGGGGAAATGTGGAGAACAGGGGAAGCAATGGCAATGGGATTTCAGCATTATATAATGGCTTTAGGAACTGCAGTGATGATCCCATCACTTCTAGTTCCAATGATGGGTGGAGACCCTGTAAGTTTTTCTTCTTTTTTTTGAAGGACTATTACTTATTCTGTCCATGAAATAATATTGACCTACTTTAACTTTGCAAAGTGTAAAAAAGTGTAAAAAAAAATACAGTAAAAAGTGAAAGTTTCAAATTTGTTTGGATGAAAGGAAAAAGTTGTAGACCACATATGGAATGACAAAACAGCTGAAAATTCAGTAGTAATTTTTTTTTGAATGTTATCTGAAGGGGTTATTTTCTGAGTTTCAGTGCATTAGTTAATGAAGACAGAGAGTGACAGAGTCTCTATGGGTGTAAAAATAAATGAAAAAAAGGCTGGAAAATAAATGTTTGAATTTGATGATGATGAAATGAAGATGGAGCTTTCTTGTGTTCAATTTGAGTGGGTGATCTCGTGTCATTAGCTGACTCAGCACTTACCTTAAACCAATCTTTCATTCTTTTTTTTTTGTCCACATAAAAAATATCATTTTTCTTTTGAAGAAAAAAAAAAAATCTTAAGAAATTTTAAGAATGAAAAAGTATAAATGTTTAAATTAAGATTATTAATAGAGTGCATATTATTGTGAAATAATAATATAAAATTTACTCTATTGCTCTCTCTGTCTTAAAGTAATTACTAGCATAAAAGTTTGATTTTGAGTGATTAAGACTAATTTAGAAAAGAGACCACCATATATGTCTTATTTGATCAAGAAAGCGAATTTTGGTGATTATTTTAAAATAACTCAAAAAAAATAAAGTGTAAATTTATTTTGAAACATTCGAATTTAATTCTATGTATGTAGTGCACTGAGATGGAGATTGGAGAGGCTCAAAACTAAGACGTACCCACAAAAGTAGACAATATTTTACAAAGTGATTTATAAAATTGTTTTTGCTCACAACATTCTCATGACAAAACAGTATTTCCATTTTTTTTTACTATAATATATTATCAAATATAAAATACAGAATTTTTGAGCAGCTTTGACCAAAAATTTCATTTCTTGGAAACTTTTTTTTTCCTTTTAAGAATTGATTTTGGGCACTTTTATTTTTTGTTTATTGACATTTTTTTTTAAATCTTTTCAACTTTGTGCTTAAAATTCTTGAAAACAGGGTGACATAGTGAGGGTGGTGCAAACACTTGTGTTCGTCCAAGGAATCAACACCATTTTACAAACGTTGTTTGGCACAAGATTACCCACTGTTGTCGGAGGGTCGTGGGCTTTCGCAGTTCCCACCATTTCCATCATCCGCGATTCTTCTTTCACCACCATTCTTGATCCCCATGAAGTCCGTACATTCTTCATTTTCTTTCTCAAAGTTTCTTTTATTACCCTTTAGAACAAGGATTTTTTTTTGCTACGATGCTCAATTAGGTTTGGAACCAGGTCCTACTCCGAGCCATTCTAAGGGCATGGGTTAGGGATAGAACCCGGTCCCGAGTCAAACTGAGCACCGTAGGACGACTTTGGTGTCATATTATGACATCCAAAACGTGCAGAAAACTCGTCCGGGGTACTTTCTGTTTTGAGAAACTAACTGTCAGGTACCCCACATTTTAAAAATATACTCCGAGGTACTCTCTATTTTGAGAAACTAACTATCGGGTACCTCACGTTTTTAAAATATACTCCGGGTACCTCCAAATATACATTAACTTACCCGTGATGGATATTTCTCTCACTCTCCGTAAAAGCCAGTTACGCCATTAATTTTAAGAAAAAGGGGTTTGGAATTCCAAAAATAACCTTGGTTCTTATACTTTAAGGATACGATTTATCCAGTGTAATCGAAGCTTTTGAATGAAACACAACGGGTAAGTTAATATACATTTGGAGGTACACCGGAGTACATTTTAAAAATGTGAGTTATCCGATAGTTAATTTCTCAAAATAGACGGTACCCCAGAATATATTTTAAAAATATGAGCTACCCGCCAGTTAGTTTCTCAAAATATGGGATACCCAGACTCAGATTTCTGCAAAACGTGTGTCAAAAGAACGGTAGTGTTATCTTTTTATGTATTTACAGTTTCAAAGTGGAAGTAAGAATGTTTGTTAATGCTAATTTGTTTTGTTATGGTAGAGATTCCTCAACACAATGAGAGCAACACAAGGTGCAATAATAGTGGCTTCCAGTTTGCAAATAGTATTGGGGTATAGTCAACTTTGGGCTGTTTTTTCTAGGTGAGATTCCAAGAATGTTTTTTTTTCCTATCTTTGTACTCCTAAACATAAGTAGTTACGATTTTTTCTTTTTTTGCAAAAGTATAAACAAGCTAATCAAATTGCTTTATTGTCTATTTGTCATCAAACTATGTTGTTTAACAAATAAACTGACATAAAATGATGCATTTATGATTTAACTAATCCGTGTTTGGTTCAGGTTTTTCAGCCCGCTCGGAATGGTACCGGTTGTCGCGTTGGTGGGGTTCGGGCTATTCGACAAAGGATTTCCTGTGGTTGGACAATGTGTAGAAATTGGCATTCCTATGTTCATCTTGTTTGTTGTCTTCTCTCAGGTAAGTGTTCTCCAAACACGACCTTAAAAAAACAAACTGAAAGATGAATTAGAGTATGTCAAGTGTCAACTCAACCAAAAGGTCAAACAAACTTCTGATTGTGGGACCAAGAAAAGGGTTTTAATTTATTTTTACTTTTATCAATGCCGGATTCTCCCTTGTTTGTTTTTCTGAAACAATGGCTTGCTGGCTTGGCTGGATGGGCAGTACTTGAAGAACTTCCAGTTCAGAAAAGTCCCGATATTGGAACGGTTTGGTCTAGTGATTTCAGTAGCGGTAATTTGGGCTTACGCACACATCCTGACCGCAAGTGGGGCCTACAAACACCGTCCGGAGGCAACCCAGCTTCACTGTCGCACCGACAGAGCCTACCTTATTTCTTCTGCCCCATGGTATATATTAATAACATACGGGTCATGCTACAGTCACACCAAGATTGACACCGCCAGTGTATCACCGACAACAATAACTGTTTGCACGTGATGTTCTCTGGCCATGTCGACTTTGGTGTCATCCCTGGAATTAAAGTGGCATTTTCTGTTAAACAATGTCATCTTTTTACATAAAAAAAGTGATTTACTTACCCCTACAGTTCAATTATGCTGATTATTTTTTTGGTTTCCAGGGTTAAAATTCCATTTCCACTTCAGTGGGGTGCACCTACTTTTGATGCTGGCCATGCTTTTGGAATGATGGCTGCTGTGCTTGTTTCCATGATTGAGGTAACTGTATATCACTCTCCCCATTCACATTCAACTCGTCGTTACGACTCTTACGATGCATCAAAAGTCAAACGAATACGGACATACATCATGTCTACATTCATTCGACTTTTGACGTATCGGAAACCTTTGATAAAGACGCCCTTCTCTCAAGGATCCATTCCAATGTGAATAGTGGGAGTAGCTCACATTAGTAATACTATAACTTACTGAGAATTGGCAGTCAACTGGGGCTTATAAAGCGGCGTCACGTCTGGCAAGTGCAACACCACCTCCAGCCCATGTTCTTAGCCGTGGTATCGGTTGGCAGGTTCGTAGAGACACCGTGCCCTACATTCTATAAAATTGAATCCAATCGTTTAACCAGTTCAAATTTCAATACGAAAAAAAATTGTAACGCGAACACTTTCTTTCTTCTTTCTTCAGGGAATTGGGGTTCTGTTGAGTGGACTGTTTGGGACAGTTACTGGTTCTTCAGTTTCAGTGTTAGTACTACTACTAGCTAGTTTGGCATATCAGTTGTGTTTTCAGTGTTTATTTAGAGGTACTTTTTTTTTCAAAAAATGATGATGTATGTGTAGAGAAAATGTGGGTCTTCTGGGAAGCACTCGTGTTGGTAGCCGCAGAGTCATCCAGATCTCGGCGGGCTTCATGATCTTCTTTTCAATGCTAGGTAAGTGTGCGCGATTTGGCAACAACAAAACCTTTTTCTCGAGCCTAAAACCTCAAACCTGAGTTTCTGGTTGATTGAGTTGGTTCTTTCTTTAGTACAAGCTCAGCTTGTAGTATATGTTTCTTGAACCATCCATCACTTGATGGCACAGGGAAATTCGGAGCCTTGTTCGCGTTGATACCTTTTACGATATTTGCAGCTGTGTACTGTGTCCTGTTTGGCCTTGTAGGTTAGATCTCTCTCTCTCTCTCTCTCTCTCTCTCAAGATGATATAATATTGTAACTGAAGAGGGTTGGTTTGTTTTGATTGTTTTTTCCTCTGTTTTTCCAGCTTCTGTGGGGCTGTCATTCTTGCAATTCACAAACATGAACTCCATGAGAAACCTCTTCATCGTCGGAGTTTCCCTCTTCCTCGGCTTGTCGATTCCGGAGTATTTCAGGAAATACACTTATGGCCCCGCACACACCAACGCCGGATGGGTAAACACCTGCACTATGTCTGGTTCAAGGAATTTTGAGAGGGAAACAGAAAAGAAAATGATGCGAAAAACATTTTTTCTTGTTTGGTATTTTGCAGTTCAACGATATCCTGAACACGATTTTCTCATCCTCGCCGACAGTGGCATTGATAGTTGCGGTGTTTCTGGACAACACGCTCGACTACAGAGACAGCGGGAGAGACAGAGGGATGCCATGGTGGGCAAAGTTCAGAGCTTTCAAAGGCGATAGCAGGAACGAAGAGTTTTACACCCTTCCTTTCAATCTCGACCGCTTCTTCCCCCCATCTTGATTGAAACCATTTTCTTCATGATATAGTTAGTTAGTAGAGAGCATAAAAACATTGATAGATGTTGTTTCATCTGCATTAATTTATTGTTTTGATGGTTTCCAGCCTCTTTCTTTATGAAATGTTCTATAAGAAATGGCAAAATCAGTACAAATAATCTCAGACTTCTATAACCATAAATAATCTCAAATAGAGCTCCCTCCATCTTTAGCAATCGATAGAAATGCAGTTTTGAGCCAAAGCTGCAGGGTCGTTTTTGGAAACGAAAGGATTGATCTTCACCCAGACGAGAGAGAAAACGGAGGCCAAGAGAACCGACCACAAGATAACGATGGTGGGGGTGCGATTCTGGCGACCCATGAGACCTTTCAAGAAGGGGTAGAGATGAGAGATGACCCAAAATGCAAAGAACACTTTCCCGAACAGCGGGCCCCAGATCTCGTACCCGCTGTTGAGCGCGTCGGAGAAGCCTGCCACCACCCCCACCAGGTTGACGATGAGGATGGTGGTTGGAGGGATCAAGACGGTGGTCCACTTGAAGACATAGAGGTCTCCAAACTCAGCGTCCTCCCCTGCCTTAGCTGTCACTGTGAAGTTGGTGTCTATCCCTGCAACCATTTTCAGCAGTCCCTGGAAGACCGCAAAGAGGTGGGCTGAAACCCCTCCGATCACCCAGAACTGCTCGTTCCTCCACCAGTCCTCTATGCTCACCCTGCTCCACCTCAGCTCAAGAATGCTCGTCACAATGATGGAGAGAAACAATCCGAGAAACAGAATGCTCGTGAGGTTCGTCAGCTGAGTATATACATACAATGCCAGAACAACTCATCTATCAGCTTCACAACAATGTGTAATTTTGACTCCAAAGTCAACTAAACTTGGGGGGAGGGGGTAGGAATCATCAATTTTTCGAATGGAACACTGGTCTCAATTAGACGTGTATCATATTATGACACCCAAAATGGGTGTCAATATAACCCTCCATATATTTTTATATTTGTTCAATGTAGAATGGAAAGATAAAAGAGTAATACAGTTACCGTTGGTATGATGAATTGTCCTGTGAGGAGACAGACAGCAGGCAAGGAGCAGTAAGCAACAAGGGGAATGGAGGTGAAAGGGTAGACAATGGTGTTGATATAGGCAAGTCTTTGGAGCAACTTCAGGCGGCCGCCTCCAAAGCCATACCACAATGGACAATGTCTGCTAAAGAAAATCTCAACAGATCCTAAAGCCCACCTGAGGACCTGGTGCAGCCTGTCTGATAAGTTGATTGGGGCTGATCCCTTGAACGCGGGCCTCACGGGCATGCAGTAAATCGATCTCCATCCCCGACAGTGCATCTTGAAGCCCGATAAAATGTCCTCGGTCACTGATCCATATATCCAACCAATCTAAAGAACAAGAATGATCACAATAAGCTAAGGGCGTGTTTGTACGTATTTATACATTTCAAGAGGCAAGTGAGAATGATAGTGTTTAAAAAAAAGCTCTACCAAACAGAACAAACAACAACAATGAACCCCAGTAAAGTCATACGGAAGCATGGTCTGGGACAGACCTTACCCTACCCGAAAGTAGAGAGGTTGTATCCAAGCTCTACCAAACAGAGTTAATACATTTTAAAGAAACTTGTGTCATTTCTGACCTCTTTGCCCCAGGCAGTCTTCTCTTCATACCCACAACTGATGACATGAATGGCTTCATTGATGAGTGTGGATGGATCAGTTGAATCGGGAACTCCTCCGTTTTCCATTAATGTGGACTCTATGAATACGGAAGATAAACCAAACGTCTTCTCAAAGCTCATCTGAGAGATGAGTAATGATCTCTCATACTCATCATAATCTGATATTAAAAACCCATGACTTTCTCATTGATAAATTTAAAACAAGATAAGAGTTTTCAAATTGGGTCATAAGACACTCAATCAAACAACAATAAAAGATTGAATCCAAAGATTGTTTAGTTCGACTCAAGGCCTTATTAACTCATTCATTATTCTTTCTCTAATTTTCCAATGTGTGATAGTTTAACAGTCATACATGCATGTATACTATTCATTGGTTTCCAAGCATGCACTTGAACTCACCCTCAATTTCCCTTAGGTTAAAAAGTGCAGAGTTGAGATCTTCCCTTTTGGCATCACGGTAAAGCTCGGCTGCATCCTTCTCTTCCATAGCCTTCTTTCTGCGGCAGCAACAGCAGCACAAACCACACCATGAACACGACGAAGATGAAGGGTTCGGTATTTTGGACATGGATGGAGGGCTATAACCGTAAAGTGCTTGCCTATTGAAAACACAACCCGTACCAACATAAACCGGCCCTTGGATTCCATCCAATCCTTTCATGTTCACCTGAAATCAAAATAGATTGAATTTTTAGTTTAATTAATTTCTTTGACGTGGTTATAAGGGCTTGTGTAAGTTAAGCTAATTGATTGTATCCAATCTTTTAAAATAGTTTACTACTCACATCAAAGAATACGACATTACGGTTGGCATATCGGTCGCTCTTATCAATACCATCGAATCGCTGAGGGAATTGCACGTAACATAAGTCACGACCAACATGTGGATCCATCATAAAACACATCGCTTCGCGGATGGCCTTGCTGTTATTAACATAGTGATCGCAGTCGAGGTTGAGAATGTAGGGCGCATTTGTTAGAATTGCAGACACCCTAACCTGCAGGAAATCCAAGCCAAGTCGTGAATCGTGATGATGGGGGTGAAAGTAAGCACACAAGACGAAGAAGAACGTAATAGAAGCTCCGAAGTTGTGGGAGCTATAATAATTACCAGAGCATTTTCTGCACCAGCTTTTTTGTGGTGTTGATACCCTGGCCTCTTCTCCCTGGATACATAAACCAGTCTTGGGAGTTCATTTCCTTCCATGTCATGTGCTCCAGTGCTTCCTAAGAAAGCCTGAAATGGGAAAATGGTTTTGTTTTTATTCCAACTATCAGCTCAAACACTTTTGGTTATGTACATTTGGAACATTATTTTAAACCCAATATTTTCGGGATCCGGTCAAAATCAAAGCGAAACCAACCTGAATCATGCCAGGGTGGTTTCTTGAATCATTTCCCGGCCAAGGCGTTCCGTCTGCCATGGCCCAGCCTTCTTCCGGTGTTTTCTGAGCCTTTGCAACCAAAGCATTTATCCTCACTTTGTACTCCTCATACTCTCTCTGTAATTCACACACAACATTCTTCTATTTTAACTCAGAACTTACAAAATCGGAATTATTCGAATTGAATTAAACCTAATTCAACTGAAATTGCTTTAATTTTAATCGCCGAATTCGTCACCTTGATGGCCCTCCTTTCCTTGACGAAAGAAGGCTGCACTTTGTCCTTGAGGTAATCGATTTTCTGTGAGAAGTAGAACTCCGGCGCCCGGGGCTCCACCGAGAACTTTTTGCAGAAGGGGACCCATTTCCTTGCGAACTCGGCGGTTTCCGCCAGTGACTCGAAGGTAAGCATGGCGGCGCCGTCGTCGGAGACATAGCAGGAAACTTTGTCCACCGGATAATCGACGGCCAGGATGGAGAGGACCGTGTTGGCGGTGATCAGCGGCGGTTCTTTCGCCGGATCCACCGTGCTGACAAAGAAGTCGACGGCGGCAAGGGCGTTCGGCTCTCCCTCCCTTTCATACCTGGGTCAGCAAGTTCAAAATTTATCTTTTAACTATCACATTTTTAATTTTAGTCATTTAAATATCACAACCTAGTGATATCATTAATTTTGAGCAAATTTTTATTAGTGCGGATTAACTTTGCATATCCAAAAATTAAATGCTACACTAAATAATCTTTTCAAAATATCATAGTTAAGGCCTCGTTTGGCATCAGCGTCAGAGATTAGCGTTAGCGTTTTGAAAAAGCTATCTGACGGTAGCCTTTAACGTAAGCATTTTCAGAATTAATCTGCACTGTTAAAATTTTATCCAAAACGCTAACGCTAATCGAAAATGTTATTACCAAACAAAGCCTGAATGTTGAAGTTGTTTCCAAAACGATTCTAATAAAAGAAAATAAAAAACTTAAATGTCAAAATATGACAAAACGATATCATGTTAGTGATGTTATTTTAAAACCATTTTTTGTTAAACATTGTTGTAGAATTACAAAAAATATATACTTTGTATTTAAAAACTTCGTAGCATATCAAAAGATCAATATTACAGAGTAGAAAAAAGAGGTATGACCATATTACTTAATCAAATGATAGATAAAAATATGTAAAAATAAGGGTTCGTTTGATATATGGAATTGTTGGAATTGAAATTGAATTAGAATTGAAATTTCATGAGATTCAATTCCATACAGTTGAATTCACCAATTTCAATTCATTTTTTGCACTATCAATTCCAAATTCACATGATTTTTGTGCTACCAAACACCAAAATTAAAATTAAAGTCCTCAATTCCAATTCCATAGTTTGAATTGCACGTACCAAACGGGGCCTAATAGCATTTGAACGGACACATAATACGATTTTAAAAAATTAAATGAGACGGAGGAAGTATAAAAGTACCGATTAGAGAGGCGGTCAATGTAAGTCCGGCGGTTAATGGGGGCCCATTTGGGGAACTGGTCCAACAACCAAGAGAAAGCAAACCAAATCTCACAAATGACTGAAGTGAGCCACAAAGGGTAAGCACTGCCCACTGGATTGGTAAGTCTGTAGTGGATGAAAAGGCCCAATATTATAAGCCTCAGTATGATCACTATTCTGTATGGCCCAATTTGGGCCTTCCCTATTGGGATTATTGATGATAGCCTCTCTCCACCCTCCACATCCCACCTGCACCCACATCTTTAGCTCATTATCTTGAAATAAATTAAAGTACTTACTGAATTATTGTCGATAATGAGTTTTTAATTTATAAATTATTTATAGGTTAAATATTCACTCGTAAAAAATGACTTAAATGATTGATAAGTCATTTGGAAATATTCACAAATGATAAGCAATAATTTTGTAAATGATTTGGTCAAAACGGAAAAACGAAAACAAATTGGCTTAAAGGTAAGTAAGTAAGATCTACCGGTTTTTTTAATACTTATAAGTGACTTGGAGGTTAGCTTATAAGCATTTACTTGAAACACGTTATCACCTGGCTTGTAAATTAAAAATAACTTAACTTTAAACACTTTTGACCCGCATATAGAAACACCACTAAGCTTATGTGGTTACGATTTACCCTCTCACTTCCATTTTTTTTGTTATTTATATTCATATAGATAAAGGAGAATTTAGCTATAATAATAAAACATAGTAAGTTTCCAATGTAATATTATACTACGTATGTTTTAATTTCCCTATTTAGTACCATTGTTCAATGTCCACCGGACATTGTCCAAGTAAATATCCACTGCCACTGGGAAATAAAAAGTTTTAGGTACCACATTGGCAAAATAGATACGGCCTCTATCTTGGAAAATTTGTCTAGTTTTAACTTTTTCCAATCAACTGTTTTTAACCGTTGACCTATAATTAAGTAAAATATATATTGTATATTAATTAGATAAAATAATATTTTAAAAATGATTTATATAATAAATATAAGAAAACTTTTTTTGTATCGATATCTAATATCATTTATATTTAACTTAGGCTCAAAGTTTACCAGTTTTGACAAAAAAAATTCAAAAATGTCTGGGACAGAAGGAGTATGTTTTAATACTACGTAATGCAAATTTCACATAGTTAAACTATTTCATTTTTAATGAAATTTCTAAATACTTTTTTAGCATAAGATAATTCTAATGAAATTATTTTGTAGTGTATATCGATCAACATGATTACTTCAATAATCTCCCTAGCTAGAGCTAGGTACCCATACTTACTGTGGCTTTTCTTCAGTTGTTTGGGAAGCTGATGATGAAGAAATGTTTTTCTTGTTCATCTTCTTCTCCTTCCAACTCTCCACTCTGTTCTTCCAAATCGACTTTCCCCCTTCATCATCATTATTGTACGTACTCTACATTATTCATGCATGCATGCAACAAAGAAAAAACCATGCCACTCAATCATCAAATTACAGAGTATATATATTTTTGGTTTTCACAATTTTTTGTTGTTGTAAATTCTTCTCTTTCACATCAACTTTTCTATTCATTTAAGTTTCCATTTATTCGATCATCGTCCTGTTTTTAAGACTTGCCTTTGTTTGTGTATTTTCATTAATTATTTTATATTTGATAAAATAAAATTTCCTTGGTGCCTCTTATTATGTAGGAATTTCAATATAGTATTTTAATAATATAAATTTCATTCATTATTCTTATACCAATTTTTCGATATATTTTACTTTATCAGATAATCAGTTAAAGCGCACAACAAATAAACAAAAGTTCCATAAATTTTGAATAGTAAATTGTATTTGTGTGTGCAGTGTCTCTCTCTCTCTCTCTCTCTCTCTCTCTC